CACTACGTAAAACATTATCCAAACACTTGTAGTAACTTCACTTATCACTGCCGACTAACTTGCTGATGGATTTTCCGGCGGGCCGACTTCAACTGACATTTCAAACTAACCACTTCATAGATCGATTCTAATAATAATGATAAAAATGCGTTATGAACAATAAGTATATGAATCATAACAAGACTTTGACATCGAGAAATGAACACAAAAATTACACGAAAGATGTTTATTTCAAACATGAACGTCACAACACCACTGCCGGTTGCGGTTTAATTTACTTAATATTGAAATTGGGTTGGTTATATGAAACCAGTACAGAGTATTGTCGTAATCCGTGGAACAATTTCCAATCCTGCAATTAATGACACTGGTGAAAGTAGCTGCGTTAAGGACAACAAATTTTCACAATACCTTGATTTTATCCGTTGAGTTTTCTAGAAGCAATCGCAATGACCGATTACAATATTTTTACACCAGAAACAAACAGATGATTCACTTTTAAAATGTTGTTCACTTAATTGTTTTTTTTTCCTATTTCATATATAAGTTTGTACGAATATTTCGGCGAATATGAAATCGGTAACTTGTGCAGCTCTCTCATTGTTTTGTAAATCCTAGGCTGATGACACTCCATTATCAACACACAACCCCCAGCAATTCATCTCAAAACAGAATACAAACATGTAGTAGAGGGTGGGGAGGGGGAGGAAAGGTCGTATTCAAGGGTATTACATAGATAATATAATAGATGATACCTTGTAGTGAATAGGTAATCAATTTCAAGAGTGATCAAATCGCGTTTTCAGATTTGCTTTACATGTTTTTCAAATTTGAAAATCAAAATATCTATACAAGTAAGAGTAATATTATGCTCAAATGATAATATTCTAAACTGATAACCAACAGTACCATTTTCCCTGATGTATTTCAACGAAATTCTTCTCACTGATCACCTCGAGCCACTTCGAAAAGTAACCCTGGGATAAATGCAATTTGTCAATATCTGTCAAATGTTTATGAATTAATTTGTGTTATCACAGATCGGGAAGCCCCACCCCCTAACTTGGAAAATAAATGGCGTGGAAACATCACCGCGGCCTTGAATGGTGAGATAAGAGCGCTATCTATTTACTTCTTACCTCCAGTGCTTAAGTATTTAACAATATATTCTTTAAAAGTTGTTACTGACAATATTCGAAAACGTCTAGAATATGCGGCTAAGAAAAATTCAAATGATGAATCACCAATTATATATTTCATGTAGTAATATAATGATTGATTTTTTTTTTTTAAATTCCATGACAACTTACCCAAGTGTGATAAAAGAAACCAGTCAACGGTTTTCACAACGCGATCATGTTTGTAGATGTTTGTACAACTACGCAAAAACCCCAAGGATCTAAATTCACTTTTACACTTGCAAGATCCAAGATCTCCAGAGCTCCTTACACGTTTTCACCACTCGACCAACTGACCCACATAGGGTCTAGCTAGGAACGCTTCACCGTCCGTTCGAAAGTCATCGCACAGGAAAGTGTCACACGCAGGTTCCTCCACATCGGATGGCCGACATTTTATTTTGAATACACTATCGTTCAATTTTGTTGGTGGAAGCTCCAAAATTGAGTTAAGTGATGATTTTCGGAAAGTACAGTACACGGGAGCCGGTTATCACAAATCCTGAAGGGTTTCGTCATACATTTTATTTTTTGGTAATGGAGATTATCCTAAACACGTAAAAAATGAAGGAACACTTTGGATGGTATATGGAGAATTATAAAATATAGAGAACACTGAAGTTAAAAATGAAAGACCTACTTGGAACTAAGCGTGAAGAGACCCATTGCTGACGGAGGTTGGCTGGCATGAGCGTCGTGCGGCGACCAGGGGCCGACTGGCGGAGGTCCTGCGCCCCCACCGCACCGCACTTACGTAACGCCCGCTACCGCACGTGGTCCTCACTCACGTGGCCCCATCTCTTCGGCTATTTTCATCTACCTTATTGTCCGTCCCATTTGAAAAAAAAAATACCTCATACATATGCAGTTAGCTTGGATTCCCTTCTACTCAGATAGTTGGCATTGCATTCTCTCCAAGGACTTATCAAGCTCCACAACATTCAATTATTACATGATACAGTTTCATTACCGTTAAGTGTATTTTAAATAAAACGATAACAAAGAAATGTCCAAGGTCCTCTGGTTCATTCCTCACGTTCATTTACATGGGCGTACGCAGCGGAGGGCGGGGAGGGGCCCTTTCCCCCCTAAATAACTTGAAAGTAAATAAAACATAATATAATAGAAAAGTTTTGCCGAAAATTTGAGAAAATTAATTTTTAATGATTGTTGTACTATATATATATCGTATTTAAAATAAAAATATTTATAATGATGTAGGGGTGGTTGACCGTGAAATAATATGAGGAGTTGATCGGGGGGTGCGGTCAAATAAATACTAAATAATACAAATAGTATTATTTAATTTTTGCCGACGATTCGACACACTTTGCAGGTCTTCATCAGGGCTACAAAATATACAAAACATGGTGAAAATAAAATAAATAAATATAAAATAATTCATTTATTTTATTTTCACCATGTTTTGTATCTTTTGTAGCCCTGATGAAGACCTGCAAAGTGTGTCGAATCGTCGGCAAAAATTAAATAATACTATTTGTATTATTTAGTATTTATTTGACCGCACCCCCCGATCAACTCCTCATATTATTTCACGGTCAACCACCCCTACATCATTATAAATATTTTTATTTTAAATACGATATATATATAGTACAACAATCATTAAAAATTAATTTTCTCAAATTTTCGGCAAAACTTTTCTATTATATTATGTTTTATTTACTTTCAAGTTATTTAGGGGGAAAAGGGCCCCTATTTATAAATTGTAATAATAATAAACTATTCCAAAAGAAAAAAATGCATATTGCTTGACCCTAATATGAAAGCTGTTTACGTCCTTGCTCTTTGAACAATTAATAAAAATAAAGTAAACAGAAAAATGATCATACTAAAAGTAATGTGTCTAAACAATAATAAATTAAACTGATTAAAATAACAACTTAAATACAGGCATGCTAATTTTCTCTATATCATTACAATGTTAGTATATGTAAAACCAAAGCGAGTATTTTGTTGACAATAAATAAATAATTTGATATACACAGGTGCGCCGAGAAGGGGATTGAATGGATCAAGTTGCGCCACCAAAATTTTCGGCGAGGGAGCACATTTTTACGGTGCTATGAATTTTTGGCGGGAACCAAGGGAATTAAACTACATTCTTTTTTTATTATTATTTTACTTTCGTTTGCACCGTTTTTCAGAAGAGGAGAGCAATACATTTTTTTGGGAGAGGGGGGGGGATGTTCATCCTTGGATAGACACTTAATAAAACCATGACGTAATTTGATGTTTTTGCGAAGAAAAGAACACTTAAATGATTACTCAACGTGCTTTACAAGAATGTAATTGATAATTGAATTAATCAATTCAGTATAATATTACGGCTTCGTATGCAACCTTTCTTCCTAATAAATTGCGAATATTCCTACGAACATATTGTTATCGCATTGTAGAAAAAGGATAGATTTCAAATTTGTATTGGACTGAAAAATAATATTCTACAAAAGGAAAATGGATGGAATAATTGGTAAAGTAATAATGTTTGATCATGTTAAAAAAAATAATAAAGGATTTGAAATGGAATTTGAACTTCTATTTTTAATCATGTTTCAGTATGACCGGAATCTTTATTATTATTTTTTTTTGTTATTTCAGACTAGAACTATTTCTTTTGCAAATTTTTAAGTAAAGGTTTTACAGAACTTTTGTTAAAAAAAAAAAAACTTTTATTTAAAAATTCTTTCGATCTTCCCAAAACGTCTATATACAAAATGACTTTTATTTTCATTTTTCAAACAAATGATACGTCAGAATCAAGCAGGACTGGACAAAATGTAATTCAAATATTACCTCAAAATATGATATTTAAAATACCGCGTATTTTTAAATAAAATGTATTTTAATCACAAAGTATTTAAATTATTTTCAGAAAATGTATTTCAAACACGGAATACTTTTAGTATTTTGTATGTTAATTACAAAAAAATAAAACACTAATACAAAATACTTTCTGATGGACAATCAGCATATAATACAGAGAACCTCTTCTATTTAGAAATTTATTTTATGTATTTAAAATACAAAATAAAATATATTTTATAATATTAGTAACTTTAATATTAGAAATAAAATACAAATAGCTTTTTTTTTTTTGTACTTTAAGAAGAAAATACAAAAATCTATATTATATTTTATTACTTAAAATTCAATTCAAAAAATGTATTTTATTTTGTACTTTAAAATACTTTATTTGAAATATTGCCGAAGGCTGATATCAAGTAATTTATTTTAAAATAATGATCACTCTAATATCAGGCCAATTACTTAGAACATTTATTTTAAAAACTCTTATTCCATAAAGATTCACGGAAATTGTTAAAATGGAACTTTGTTAAAAGATACCAAACAAGTTTCAATCCCTGCTTTTGATGATAAATAAATATTTTGATAGGCACTTAATGGAACCCGAACGTTATTTAACGCTTTTGCGACTAAAAGGGCATTAATTTCGTGAGCTTTTATATGATTACTTAATATACTTTCCACGAATTTAATCGATAATTCAGTTGAACAATTCAATATTACGGCTTAGTGAGTAACCTTGTTACTTAACCAATTACGAATATTCCTACGAAGCTCATTTGATCACAATGCAGGAAAATAATAAATGTTTCCATAAGGTCTTTATTGAAAAATAATATTCTACAAAAGGATAACGGATTGAATAGTTCGTAAAGTAATAATGTTATTTAACTGTTTTGTTTTTGTTTGTTCAACTTTATCTTCATATATCTTGTATGTTCCTTTATCAGTTTAAAAATAACGTTAAACTGTAACATATATTTTTTAATGTACCTGCAGATGGGGTTGGGACACAGCCTTTCTTCAGCGATGCAACTCAAAGAAGAAATGTTATCCAAAAATCCACCTAGCCCGCCCCCTTGTGAGCCGTTTTCTCTTCCTCTGCAACATAAACAACACTTGTTAAATAAATAAATGTAAATATATTTTATTTTTTATTCATTAATTTATCTTGAAATAAGCCTATAGCGCCCTTACTCAGCCTCCGCTGGCTTTTAATATCAGTGAAGTGGTCGAGGGAGTAGCGCAGGGATCTCCTGAGGCCTCGCTTTTCCCTCCACAAGTGGGGGACAAGACTGATTCGGAGTTCCCATGGCTGATTGTAAATGGTGTACATAGGTATGCCTTTGCTTAAGATGTTTATTTCTTTTTTATATCTTTTTTTTCTCTCATTGTGATATTGTATTTTGTTCCTATTTCTATGTATTTTATATTGTTATTACTTTATTTATTTATAATTCTGTAAATATTGTGGGGATGTGCTATTTGGAGTCTATTATAAGTGTCCTTAATTGAGACAGATTGTAATTTTTCTGAATAAATAAGTTAATAATAATAAAAAAAATAATAAAAATGTTACAATAATATTTATCAATGAAAACAATAAAAGATCACTATTCTGACCGTATATAAATGAAAGAATCGAGGGTTTCGAAATGATAAACTTAAGATCATTATTTTTTTTTTATTTATGTAATAAAATATATTTGCTCAACAGATTTTCGTGTACGTTTGACATTCGACATATTAATCGTTTATGATATGTTTGCCACAGTAGCTAGTTGATTACCCTTCCTATATCGTATTTTAGTTTTCAATGATACAAAAATGGCTTGCAAATATTATACAAAGCTATAGTACAGACTCCTTTTTATCGAATTATTAACATCCGCTTAAACCTTTATGAATGATTTCATCTTAACGTAACCTACAATTTTTCTATCTACGAAAATTCTCATAAATGGGGCGTTTTCTCATTAAAATAATTAATTTAATGAGGTAATAAAAAATCATAAATACCCATTTGCTTCCCGCTTGGATCGATAAAATGATTACAAAACCGAATAAAAGGTGGTTTATAAAATATTGGGCCGTTTGGCCTATATGATCTCGTTATTTTGACATGTTTGGGGAGGAGGCGGTGAATGCCAACCGGCCTAATATTTTTTCGGACACCTTTTCTCTCGAATTTGAGGTCAAATTATCTTACCATTCAAGTGGAAAGCTAATGTGTACCCATGAGTGTTTAATATCTAATTAAATAAACAAATTTCGTCGATCTACAGATTGAAAACGCACGACTTTCGAGAATTTTCGTAAATAAAATATTTGTACGTTGCGATGAGATAAAACTATTAACAAAGTTTTAGGCGGATGTTAAACCGGGGGTCTGTAGCACCACGGACTACTATTACGAGGGGTATCGACGAATTCTCAAATTTCAAGTATATATGTATGTACATAAAATAATTTAAAACATAAATAAGAAAGTAAGAATTGAAAAATGGAATAATCTTCATTATTATCTGTTTCATAAATAATATTAAATCGGTTTTAAACAATTAATATTATGTAAACGATGTAACGTAAAAGATTTTGAGGAGCTTACATAATGTCGATTGCAAATGTAAAATTATGAAGGTCGTTAAGATTTTATTGATGGGGAAAACCACTTTATTTGCTCATGTTTATCACATTTTTCCCATTTAAAGTGTTTGTTAGAAGAATTATCTCATACACACACCTTAGACCTTTTATCAAAAAACAGATAATTGCAGTTTTAATTTAGACTTACAACAGTATTGACTTGCCAATTTCAATATTCGAGTATCAAGGTTTAAAAAAAAAAAATACAAATTGTTTGTACTATGAACTAAGACCTGGGCACAAATGTATTTTCAAATGCTTTGTTTAAAATACCAAGTATTTTATCTTTCTAAAATACAATTTCAATCACCAAGTTTTAATATGTATTTGAAATTTAAATGGTTATTAAATTAAATAATAAAGTGAAATAATTTAAATAATAAATACCAATTGAAATACTAGGCGATTAAAATTGTATTTTAGAAAAATAAAATACTTTGTATTATAAATAATGAATTTTAAAATACTTTTCGCCCAGGCCTGCTATGAACAACGGCTTAGCCGGAAGAGGGAGAGCCGATTATGTAAATTGTAATTTAAGAATAATTAATTAATTTTTAAGATTAAGAATTAATTTTTATTTTATAATAAATATTTTTCATAAAGTAGAAACATTAATTAACAACCTGTTGTAGATTAATTTTTAAGAAATTCTTTTGTAATACTTGTTGCTCTTTTCTTTATTTTTTGAAAGTATCATACTCTGTTTTAAATTTTTGCAAGAAGGGGGGGCAACTCCCCCCTCGCCCATCCCTGGATACGTTTTCACCAAAAGACGTATTTTATAGTTTAGGAACAATCTTACATTGTTTGCCTTTCTTTATTCAGTTTACGAAGCAAAACACTCATAATTAAAACATGAGTTACATAACAAAACAAAAAATGTCTCTACTGATTAAAGAAGAAATAATCTTGAAGTATCTTTATCGGAAAATTGAACGATTACATAAAATGTGGCCGTATTAAATCTATTAATACAATTTTATCTTTGTTAACAAAGTTCTTTGTAGTGACCGGACTCTATGATAACATGTAATAATATTACAAGGACCTTTTTAATAAGACAAAAAAACGAAATAATATCCTATTTATGAAAGAAGAAATAGTAATCAATTTTCTATAAGCATTATTTACTTATAATGATAGTTGTAGTAGGAGATGAGTAGTAGAGCTTTATACCATAAATAGCTTCGGATCAAATTACATCCGATTAGCGAACGACTAAAAGTTAATGAATTCGAAATATGTTAATATCTGTTGTTAGGCGATCGTTGAAAATTCAAATCAAAGATGATCGGAGAACATATCCCATTTACTGTTTGAAATAACTGGGATTACATCACCTGGCACATGACTCTTATTTTCACCGAAATGTTTCCCTTTATAGGTACTAGTCATCAGCTAACTTATTTTGTTTGTATCGTACAAACTTGCTGGTTACAAACTCGACACAAATCTTTTTAAAAGAAACAAGAGGTGATATTACAAAAAAAAAATCTAGAATTTTTAAATTTCTAGCAGCTTATTTACGGTACGTCATAATGATTAATAAACTTGAAATAATATTTTTATCATATGAGTACTGCAACGGTAATTATTTTTCAAAAATATGGTATCAATTGTTTACCGCACTGATAAGGAACCGTAGAGGTAAAACAGACATTTGTTTCATCATCCCATGATAAATTAAATATTTCAATATTCACAAAGCTTTTATTTTTCAATATGGTGTTGAGTAGATATCCCTTAAGACCTGTCGCGATGAATATTTTTGAAGGACTTCGACCCAAAACAGCGCCCCGTCCAATCTTATATCTATTGGAAGAAAAATCAAGAGAAGATTATAATCAACTAGTGCTGTTGGAACAAATTTTCAAAATTTGTTTAGATAATTTCAACCTTATTAGCTAACTGAAAATCGTATTAGAATTCTTAATTCTCTGAATCCATGTCTGTCATTTTAATTCTTGTAAAAAAAAAATACTACAATTTGCACTTGCAGTAACGGATCCAGGATTTAATTTATTGTTGGGAGGCTCTTCAGCCAAAAGTTTATATATATATATATATATATATATATATATATATACATATATATATATATATATATATATATATATATATATATATATATATATATATATATATATTTAACGACAATTGCTTGGGAAGAAAAAAAAAAAAAAAAACTAACTACATATATGAAGTGCTGATTAAATGATGTTTAAAGTTCTATTAAAAATTTAATTATACGAACAATAATACTTTTAGAGATATTTTACCATAAGACATGGTCATATTTATTAACTGTATATGTATTATAATTTAAATAATCGAAAACATTGTTATAGTTTTTATGTTTCTACCTTAAATCACTCACAGTAACAAATAGGGACAAATGGAAAAAAAAATTAAGGAGGGGTTCAACCCGAAATTCTATCTTCCCGAGCTCCCCCCGCCATTAACCATTTGCCGATAAAAGCTAGTAATACTAACTCATGTAATGTGCACAACATAAATTATAAATAGAAGAAAGTAAAAAAATAATTAGTATTAGTTACTATAAAGTTTTAAAATATGCATGTTAGTAAATATAACAAAGCTCGTACCCCAATCTTGAGAAACAAAGCAGCACACTCCAATAGATGTCGGCGCTTCTCTTCCAACCGCCTAACTGCCATCTATATTAGCGGAGAATGAGCGAGAGCGCTATGGCCACAGACACACAGGCAGGGACGAAAAACATAAAGCTATGTTTTGGTAACAACGATGTTTTCTTTAAAACATTTCATGTTTTGCTAAAACGATGTGTCAGGAACATCAATGTTTGAATTCCGATGTTTCTAAACATGGACGTGTCCTCAGATTATATACACCCATAGATTTGAAGAAAACAACACACAGAGAAATAATAAAAATTTGTCAATGTCCGTTTAATACAAACTTCCTTGAGTCGAAATCTGAGAGGAGGGATATAACAATTTTTATTTTATTGATTGATGTTCCTTTATAATGTATTCAGTTTAATACAATAACTAGTTCGCAGTAATTATTCAATTTTTATGCGAGCTTCTTCAACATGTACCAACAAACCCCGGTGGAGAGTGGGAGAATTGGTTAGCACATTTCGGTACAAATAACTGCATATTTGAAAAAAAAAAAGAAGATAATATAAGCTTACCGACGTGGTACTCAAAGAGAGCAAAACCATTTGCACACGTCAGCCAAATTTTGCAAGAACTCAAACAAACATCAGAACAAGATGGCATACACAACCGATTAGTCAAAAAGAAATTATTTTATGAAACCAATGAAAAATAGCCCCATTTCAACAAGAGATGCTTCTATAAAAAACGATAACGTTATTGTAAATTGAAACAGTTCCGTTACTTCCTTCTCCCCCCAATATTTAAGAAAGGAAGAATCATCAAATTGGCTGAAAGGAATCCTTTTTCATTAAAGTATTCCTTTTTGATGGGATGTTCTAGTAGAGATACAGGAAATATGAATACTCATACCATTGTAGGGGATAACTTGCATACACCAAAAACCAGTTTTGGTGAAACATTTTACCACCTTCCCGCTACTTTTTTTACGTTCTGGGCCAAATAACCTTTTAAGGTTTAAACAGCCCAAATTTACAATACCTTTTTTTAATCCATTTCACCGATTGATAGTCGGTGAATTAAATTGTGTTGTTAAGAAAATATTTTAAATATTATATTTAAATATTATTGTTGAAAATAACTTAAAAACCATTATATTTACTAAATTGAATGAATACTTATAATTTTTTAAATTATATTTATATTAATAAAGTTGTCTTTGGTTACAGCACTACAGTGAATAATATGGCATAATAAAATATAACATTGTATAGAAGGCATGAGAGGGGATGTAAAATCATTGACGAGTCGGAAATTTCTAATGTAATCTTCAATTTTAGAATGGAAATTTGAATGATGCAAAAAGAGTCTAATAGATCATAAATTATTATAAATAATTAAAAAACACCATCATTAAATATAATCTTATGTACTGAGGTAGATGAATTATTTATGAAATGGTCCCATCACTCATTGTTTGTAGTTATTAATATCCTAAAATTAATTTATTTTTCTTCAGTTAAGCTTTGTTAGTATTTCTATCTTTAATATCCATGACACAATAATAATTTATTTAATATTAAAATTTTATCTTCAGAAAAGTGAGAGCAGAACTAAAAGTAAATAAATTTCTGGCTCTCAACTCAGACATTTTCACTGAGAATGAAATTATCTCATCATAATGCCTAATTATCTAAAAAGAATAACAGCACTCATTCATATAAATTCAAATTATAAAGCTGACACAAACCAATTATCAGGAACCGTTAATCGATAATAGAGAATAGAATAGGTTGAATTTTCATAATTGTTTAATTAATACCTGAGATACTTCAATGATTAAACGAAATAATAATGTTCTTTCAAGTAAAAAAAAAAAAAAAAAAAAAAAATACAATCGACCATTTTAATGATAATTCGGATAACAGGGAAACTCATTTTTAAAGATTATTTCTAATTTAAATTTTAGGTCACCAATGAATTTTTCTTTAATAGAATGGGTAAAAGAAAAATAAGATAATATGAATTACAGCTATCTTGTAACATAAAACTGTCTGGATATTCTCCTGAAGGTATGCTCTTGAAACATTGATAACACGTAATGCATTATTACTATTACACTACACATATTATAACATAGTCTACATAGTGAACTTATAATGTCCTATCGAAACAAATTAGTTCAAATTGATTTCTGATTATCAATGTGGCATTTAAGAATTTCATTCAATTAATCTTATTAAGAATATATTTTATTTTAGGGGGAAAAAAGTTACTACGCTAAGAGTTTTATTCGATTATTCGAGCTATAAGGGGAATATAATGCTAAAAGCATCATTTAAGATTTTCGAAATTTTCATAAGATACAGAACCGAATTTCGATATCTTCAAATATATCCATTTTCCAATAAGTACTCCAAGGCCTTTTTTTTTTTTACAAAAAATAAATTCGTAAGAATAGTATTTTAAAGTTCAATAAGAATGAATATGTCAACATTCTGATGACAAATTTATTGTTTTCTTCTAATATTTTTACAGAAACTGTTCGTTGGTGGGCAATACCAAGTGGTTATAATACACAACGCGGGTAAAAAAAACAAACTTAGTTCCCATTTCCAAACGGAAGGGAATCCGCTATAACATACTAACTCACCAATTCATAAATACTTTTTCTATACAAATGTTTACGGAATTACTTAAACTAGTTTACAAACAAATCAATCAGCAATAGATTTGGCTCGTAAATTTACAACGCCCCTTTTTCATTACAGAATCGCATGTAATACATTTTAATATCGGTAGTGGTATTATAAAAAAAAATATATCACAGATTCAATCATTACCGAATATGTGATCATTGTTTCATCCTAAAAATAACTGTTCTATGTGACTTTCTATTTGTCTGTGTTCACTGGCGGACCCAGGATTTAATTTTGAGGGGGAGGGAGGCTTCAGCCCGAAAGATTTTTTTCATAAAAATAACGATAATTACTTTGGAAAAAAAAAGAAAGAAACTAACTACCTATATGAAATGGTGTTTAAGTGATTCCTAAAGTCCTTTTAAATGTAATTACACGATAAATAATACTTTTTTAATATTTTTTTTTATAAACATGGATATTTTTTACCATTTTGGGGGGAGGGCTTCAGTCCAAAAGCCCCCCTTAGAACCGCCCGTGTCTGTGGTCAAATGTAAAATATAAGGGATAAAAGAAAACGAAGATGTTTGTATAATTTTAAGCCAGTTCATATTATATACGCATATTTGTGTATGTGTGTATACTAATATAGATGATTTTTCTGAAACGAACTAAAGAAGGAGCTGGAAACTCGCGTTTTGGTTTTTCGAAAATTACTCACTTTCGGGAAGGGCGTCCAACATCTAGCCATTCTAAGCCTATGTCATACTCCTATCCGTTTGTGTTGCGGAACATTTAAACAGCACAAAGTAAATATCTCCTTTATCACCTCATATCCATCGGAGCTGGGCACAGTTTTCATTCACCTAATTCTAGTATCTTCGCCGCACGGAGGGCCCGTAAAAAATTCGACTTGGTTACGAGAGAACACTGTACAAACTGCACAACAGTAGGCGATCACGTGATCAACTGCCGCCGGCTCTGTCATTCACCAACTTTATGGTTTGATAAAATGTGGGGTCTATTACACGAGAAGGGGGGATTGTTTGTCTGTGTATTGTTATCAGGGAGATAGCATTGTTTCAACCAAATCCTTGTAATTAAAAACATTTGGTTAAACAGAAGGTCCGAGCAAACACCTCGGCATACGCTTATGTAACATTTAGTCTATATAAACTATTATTACCCACAACAAGGGTCATAATTTCAATTTTATCTGACTGAGACCGTTTTTTTTTATGACTATCCTCCCCCCTCCACTCCCACACCGGATAAAACCAGTCTCAATCAATGGTCTCTGCCGTAAGTACAATTAATCATAATTGATTAAATAAACGCTAATTACTACGTAGTACGTGAAGGTATTTTTTTTTTCAAGCCGATTGAAATTAATTGAAATCTCCTAATAACATTAAGAGAACAATTTTTATGTTTTAAATTAAACAATATAATAGAGAACTATGACGAACTAATTTATTTCTGTACTGCAGGTGTAGAGAGTATCAATATTTAAATAAGCTGAAAATTATACCTTGCAAATATATATAAATACATATCATTTTTATTTAACTACTATCAACATATATTTTTATTCAATCATGCACGTAATTTATTTATTCTCTTTGAGATTTTTATAAAAAAAAAAAAAAAAAAAAAAATAATAATAATATATATATTGTGCTCTCGCTCGATCAACATTGGATATTACTTCCAGAGATACAGTTGAGAGATTAGCGCAGGGAACTCCTGAAGTCCAGCTTTTTCTTACACAGGTAGAGAGAGGGGCAAGCTTGCTTCGGAGTTCCCTTGGCTAATTGTAAATAAATTATATATGTATATCTGTGTTATTTTACTTAATATATTATTAAATTTATTTTATTTTGATGTATGGCAGGTATATGCTTTTTGATTATTAATTTATTATATTTTATAAATAAAAACGTTTTATTTTATTTATTAATCACTGTCCATATTGTGACAGAATGTATTATTCAATAAAATAGTTTAATATATATATATATATATATATATATATATATATATATATATATATATATATATATAAGATTTTTGTATAAAATCATAAAGTATTTTTATGTATGTATGAAAAGAATTTGTATTTTTTTTTGATAATTTTTTTTTTATTCAGTAATATAACATTCTGTCACACGTACAATAATTATAGTGAGTTAAGAACACACTCACACAATATATATATATATATATATATATATATATAACATAAAATATACGAAAGTAATATAACAACTAAATAATAATCAAAATGTATACACAATAAAAAATAAAATAACTTAAAGATAAGTAAATTAAAAACGTAAACAACACAGTTTACCTATATACAATATTTAAAATCAGGCAGGGAACCCCAAGCCTGGCTTGTCCCTCCAACTAATAAGGAAAAAGCAGGACTCCAAGAGATCCCTGCGCTACTCCCTCAACCGCGTCACTGATGCTAAAGCCAGTGTTTGCGAGTTTGAGCGAGGGGGCTTTAGCTATACACTCTTTTGTTAAATTAACTAATGCATGTATTTATATAATTGATAGAGATTGTACAAAAAATTTAAATTGATAATTTAAAAAAGCATTACTCAAAAATTATTATTATTTATAATTGTAAAAATAATGATCAGGACATGATTTTCATGACTTATGATCAAAAATAAAAATCACTCTTAATAAAAATCATCAAGGCTCTTTAAAAATTCCAGATACAAATTTTGATCGGGTTTGATTTTTATTTATTTAATTATCGATTTCAAACTCTGATAAATACTGTACTGACATAGCTTATTCAATATTTTTATTGGACATGACAGTTTCTTGAAGTAATTCATTTAATGTTATAGTAAAATGATATGATGCTTACCTAACATCGTAGCCATTTGGAAAGAAAATATGGGCTACAGATCAATTAAGCGAAATATTTAGAAGAAAACCCTTATCACGATAAAATCTTGCTCCATTATTCTCAGAATCAGGGGCTATGTGGTGGTTAAGATAAAGCTCATATTTTAACGTCAAATCGGAATCCATTTGAAGGTAAGTTGCCCAGTTTTAGTGGTCGAGAGTTCCGCAAACATGTAGAAGTTTTCTCCTCCCTCAGCAGAGCTATCCAACCATTTAATATTAAAAGTAAACTGTGTTCAGAACTCTTCCTACGGGATTTGTTATAAAGAGCATCACCATATAAGTATTTTCTTTTTAAGCAGCAAAAGTAAATTTTATACTGGAATACCTCTCTAAGAATAATCAATGGAAATATTCAATTCCAGTTACGTCTGTCTGACTTAAAATTACAATTATAAAGTAATACAATTAAAATAATAGCCAGGAATAAAATAATCATATAAAAAAAAAATTAAATTATCGACAACTTAATAAAAAGGTAATATATATAAATATTACCTTTCTATTCTACTGCCCAATTTCCAGCAGAAATTTAATATTTGTATTTTTTTAAGCTAGTGACGTTTTTTGTTGAATAGGGCGATAACATAAAAAAAATTTATTTAAATAACTAAACATCGCTCCATATTTAACTAAACAAAATTTCCTTTAAACGGACGTAGAGTTTGTCGTTGTTAAAACTATTTAAAAAGTGCAATCAAAAAGAGCGGACAAACACAGCTAAGATCCGTTTAAAAAAAAGTCGTAAATTATCTGTGATTTTTTTTACCACCATTTCAAATGTATTACATTTACTCCACCTAATTTACGCCTACCTTCAGTTTTATTGCTCTCAAGTTAATTTTTATTGTCATTGTTAGTATTCCATCATTCAAGATTCTATTTCCATCTCACGGTCATTTTTAAAGAAGATATATGCAAATCATGTTATTATATTACGTGTTGAGTGCTCCAATTTTTGTTCTTACTTTGAGATATATATATATATATATATATATATATATATATATATATATATATATATATATATAGTTTGATCATGACAAAACTTAAAATTTTTATTTCCCTCTGTTCTATTTTCTTCACAACACAAAAGCTCTGAAAACAAATTTCAAGTAATTAATGCCGGATCTGGACACTTGTGAGAGAAACTTTTCAAAAATCGGCATTTAGGGCCTGTCAGACTATTTCATGGAAGAAAAAGTCTAGCTATTAAGAAATTGAAAACCATTATAAAATTGAAACAATGAATTTTAATACCTTATTGGCTAGTATCTTAAATATGATATTTTAGTTTCGTTCGAATTTTCATTTTTGAGCTAGGCAATATTCCATACATAGTAAAATCAAATAATTGATGCATGATACTGAATAATAGAGTCTCACTCAAGTACTTCTCCTAAGGCGATGGCGCATGGTCCCCTTAAAAAAAAAAATTGCTTTTCTCTTATTAAAATTCTCTTTAATTTTATTTTCTTCGAAGTTTCTTGAAAGTTCCCTTCAATTGAAACCCCACAAAAATATACTTCCCTTTTGAAATTGATAATCCGGTAAATATGAGCCCATCACTCAAAAATCTATAACGCCTTAAAAATGTACAGCTCCTCAAAAACTTGTATGGCGCAACTTGTGCCATAGAACCCCCATATGGGTACCTCTTTCATCAAAGTATTTAATATTGTAGATAGAGAATAAATAATAATGGCTTTGCATTCTAATCATAGGCGTTTGTTTAACTAGAAATGTTTCTAGCTTTTAAGTTAGCCATTTCCAATGTAAGGTATAAAACAAAAAGACGGCAAAAGGAGGCGACTGACCCCGAAATTACCCACATCCTGCAGTGGGGGGAAGAGGGGGGGATATTGCGCTTCTAAACCACGGACTAATAATTTACGGGGAAATGACGTCACTGCTCTCACATAAATTAAAACATGTCGGTCAATTTTTCAAGACCAATTACCTTCTAATGGAAATCAGAAAATATTCTTAACAATACATCATTATTATATTTTAAAAATATTTCTTGTTTATCGGTACTGGTAGACCCACAGGGCGGGAGGAGAGGCGTTTTCGGTCCCTCTCCAAAATGGAAAAATAATTTGTTTTTCGTTCGTCCACATCAGTTTCTGTGAGTGATCTGAGCAGAATATGTAACCAATCAGATATGTACTATTTTACGCTAATAAATGTAATGCATGTCCCAAGAAAAATAAAAAAAAAAATAATCTTTGATCCGACTCCCCTCAAAATTAAATTCTGACACCGCTACTATTCCACGGTGTTTGTTATTGGATTCGATGTGTTAAAATGAGTCGGAGAGTTATGCCGATTTTTGACCAGTTGTCGTTGGTTAAAAAATATTCCCTTATAAAGTAGTGTTGGGATTGGGATATTTCAGCGGCAAGGCGCTGAGCTTCCAATGCTCAAGGTTTCTGGTTCGAATCCCTGCTTATGACAGATAAATTATTTATTCGATCCTGGGTCGGGAGTTCCTCCTTAGGCACACCCAGCCTTTATAAAAAGTGGGTATCCTTAATCTAATGATTAATTCAGGGAGAAAACCTGACAGTTGGGTGTGATTTCGGTCAAATCACCTCCTTGCACAATCATTGACCAAGAAACAGTATGTTCCCTACATGTTACTGAACCCAAGACCCTTCATGAGTTGTAGTCGTACAGTTAATTTTTTTTTTTTAAATAGTTTTATTTTATTTATTATTATTATTTACTAACAACGAGAAAATTACTCATTACCAGTATTGAGTTGGAAGATGAAAAAGAGTTAATTCCTATAGTATTAGGCCAATGGAAAAAAAAATACTTTAAAGATAAGTGTATACCGTAAGATGGGTTAACTTTGGGACAGCGGGTAAAATTTAGTTTGTGGTGATTCCGTGGTGGATACAGTGTGTTGGTTCAGTCAGCATGTTGCCTAGAGACGCCCGTTCGAATCCGGTATGGGAGGGTTTGACTTTTATTTCATGGAGGACCCATATAATGAAACTCGACCCTCCCACTCTGGTTAGAAAAGGTTTGGTTGTTCCCCTTGGACAAC